ACATGATGCGATATCGCCTGTCCTCCCCATCAACGTATCCTTGGCCTTCCGCCGTCTCGGTGCCCCTGGTTGCCAGTTCGTGAGCAACAGCAGCAACACATGCGACATGCGACATGCAGGCATCGACAGGGCTCCCCATCCATGAATGGATTACTCGTGCCAATCCCCAAGTCCGAAAGGCCATTCCCGCCCTAGTCCTGCATCGCCAAAACCCACCCGCCCACCTTCCTAAGGCCCCAAGCTACGGATCTAGCTAATGATCACTCATTTACACCAATAGTAGGTCGAGCCTGTAAAGATAACGCCCCTTGTCAGATGTTGTCCCTAAGAGCCCTGACACAACCTTTTCGCCGCCGTGCCTCCCCGTCGCGTTTATGCTGCTCCTGTCGCATTGAAATATCACCAGGTTGGTCCCCTCCTCCTGATCGCGACTTTCTTAAGCTGACCGCCCGGAGCTCACGTTTGCACTGTCGACACTGCTCTCAGTTTGCCTGCCACAGTTAGTGTGCGCCTTAACTGTCTGCACTCCTCTGTGTCAACTTTTGACGCCCCTTCCTCCATTGCCGCGACCCCGTTACGCCATCCCAAGGGACCCATCATTGGCAAGATCTAGCCTAGCGAATCGGAGAATTTTTTTTTTCTCTTCCTGAAGCTTCGCTATCCCCAATTTTCGGCTTTTGACGCACTACTAGAGGACGCAGCCTTCGCCTTGCCAGCGATACACCCCTGCCCCTTTAACCATCTTCTTCGTTCATACATCCGACCATCGGCTTCGATTCTGACTCTGCCAATATGGCGTGGACCGACACAATCAACAACAAGGTCGCGCGCAGCCGTGCTGGCCGCTGGTTTAAGCTTGATGGCTGCGGTCATGTAAGTCGTATTGGAACCCTCCGGATGGGCTGAGACTGCCCACCGAGACTGGGACTGATGAGCTGCGCAATCATAGCCGAGGGAGCGAAAGGGCTCCAAGTTCTTGACCGAACTACGTGCTGGCCTCGTCACCTTCTTCGCCATGGCCTACATTCTCGCCGTCAACTCGTCTATTGTCTCGGACTCGGGCGGCACCTGTGTCTGCAACAGCACACCCGACGACCCCATCTGTGTTGAGAACACCGAGTACCTCCTGTGCAAGACGGAGATTAGGCGGGACCTTGTCACCGCCACCGCTGCCATCTCTGCTCTGAGCACCTTCTGTCTGGGCCTTTTTGCCAACATGTAAGTCTCTCAATGCGCCAACCCCAAATGCCGTGGAGGAGTCCCTCACTCACACCCGAGAAAGGCCTGTTGGTATCAGCTGCGGCATGGGTCTCAACGCCTACCTTGCCTACGACGTTGTTGGTTTCAACGGAACTGGTCGTGTGCCTTACGAAGTCGCCTATGACAGCCATCTTCATCGAGGGCTTCATCTTCATCGCTCAGGCCGAAAAACGGCTACCGCCTAAGGCTCGCCCCATGCTATACCTAGATCAATCAAGGTTGGAACTGGAGACGGGTATTGTTTTCATTTTTT